TGAAACAGTATGGTGATCTATGTCTGACTAAAAAGTGTGTTAAACCTGAACGTTCACAAAGAGGTTAACCACAAAAGAAAAGACTCATGATGATTTTGATGATCACGACGATGAGCAAAACAAAAATCACCGACTGCTGAACATTAGATCATCAAAAATGAAAAGTCGGGAATATCATAATATCAAGATTTCAAAAAATTCTAAATTCAGGATCCTAAAGCAATATTCCAAAGTTTCCTTAGTCAAACGATAACAAAATATTTTTCTACAATTTCAGGATCCACACATATAGGCAAAGTTCGGTGAAGGGAGTAATAGGAAAACCCAGAGAAAACTCCGACAACCTTCTTTAGTTTTTACTACAATAAAATTCTAACTACGACTTGTCTTTTTATAGTATACTTGAAAAATAATAAGAGAGAACCAGAGAAAAAAAAAAGACCAATGATGATAGGAAAAAAAGGTAACCTGATAACTGACTGATGTATCACAAGACACAGTTTAATGCCGGAATGAAGACTGTAAACATCCCATTTTTTGTGTTTAAAGACACTCATTTTGTGTTGCCTCTGAAGCTTATTTAAACAAAAAGGAAAAAAAAGAGTGAGTGTTTCGCCTTGTTTTTCCATGGGCTTCCCATGGACATGTGTTGCCTAGATACATGGCACACAAACACTCCATGGATGAATAGAAACACAACGACGTCTGGATAAACCGAACCGGTAGCCGGGAACCAAAAGTCATGCTCCCATCCTAAAATATTCCTCAAATACTCACTATTTCACGATTCCAGAAATCTGTGTGTTCTGTGGGTTCCGATGTCTTCTCCTCACTCGCAGATCTGTTTCACAGATCTGTCTCCATTTGCATCCAGGTGCTCTCTGCTCTTGTAAGTGTCCAAATGTCATCTGTAAAATTTTAGATCCAGCCTTTCTCGTTTGTTTGGGCACCTTTATATCCAGATCGTCATTTTTCTGTGTTCTCTCCTTTCTCGCATCTTCTGTTCTCTATAAAACCATATATTGTTAGCAACATGCAACAATAATATATTCTGTTTTTGCAATAATACTTTTTCTACATTTCTCTGCTTCTCCAACCTCTCTCTCTACATTGTCCATTGCACTCCCCTCTATACACCGGGCACCTGTTGGCACCGGGCAGGCAGCGAAGGATGTCCCTCTTCGAGAAACAAAAAGTGAAAAAGTATGGGAAAAGGAGAGAGTGGTTAGTGAAAAAAGAGAGAAATGGAGAAGTGATTGGGAGAGGACGATAAAAAAGTTCTAATACATTATCTCTGGGCTCTCTCTTTCATTTGTTCTCTCTACTTCTCTTTTTTATGAATGCACAATTCATAAAAAAGGGGAAAATGGTATGGTAATGTTATATGAAGAATGGGAATCGAGAAAGAGAGAGAGAGAGAGAGGGACAATGGGGAAGTAGAATAGAGACGATTGAATGATTAGAACAGACTAGGAAAATGGCATGAATAAACGTTTGGAGAAAAAAGAATGAGGAAGGGAACTGGGATTCATGATTTTGAGAATTCAGAAAAATTTGGAATTCAGAGAATCAATAAGAAAAGGCTTTGATTTTTTAGAAGGTAACAAATGAGAATCCAGGAACTCAAGAATGCAGAAATTCTAAATATCTGAAATTCAGGAAACCATGAAAATCTAATATTTCCAAAACTCTTCCGGGAACTCGCAAATTTAGAGAACCATTTTGAGAGACTGTTTGCAAATCCAAGATTTTGGTATTCCTAGTATCATATTTTTAAAAATAGGATAACAAAGTTATTGAACTCTTGTTTCCCGCAGTATTGCCAGATACTAAAATTACCTACTTACTATTAGACCCAATAATTAAGTGATCCGAAATTATCGTAAACACTTCAATAGAATGCCGTCCAAATTGTCAACTTTGCGCCCTTTTATCTCGGTTTCTGTGAAAGATTTCAAAAATTGCTTGACTAGCAAAATGTTAATTATAATGTCAAAAGTAGTTTATCTGTTGACCGCTTTTTGATATCTTTTACAAGAACAAAATATATTGGCTCAAAGTTGATAGTTTGGCGGGGGGTTGGGTTCATTCTAGTGTTTTCAGAGTATGTTAAATTATGCAAATTTGATAAGGTTTTCTGCTAAACTCTTGGATCACCTACACTTTGAATCTAAATAAGATGCTTTAAAATTAGGATATATTGGAAATTTAGACATTATGAAAGGATGAGTTTCAGAACTCTAAAAATACTTGCCGTTAAATATCAGAAGATAATCCACCGATTCGTTGTTGGCGCAGCAGCTTGTCTGAAAAATACAATTTTTTTGACTCAAGTTCCCAACAGTAGGGTAAAGCTAACCTGTCTAATCCC